TTTGACCTACTTTTATGAGGAACTAAACAGAAATGCAGACAAAAAATTATGCTCAAGGATGTTCATAATAATTTATAACAAAATGGAATCCACATGAAAGTCTAACAACAAAGTCATGGCTATATTATGGGAGGGCCAACTAAAAGGATATGACATGGCCACCTGAATCATTTGGAGGAGGAGACGGACACGGCTCATTACCTATTCCTGAATGAAAAATAATCAAGACATAAAACTTCATATTTAGTGTGATATCAATGAAAAAACATACATATATTTGTAAACTAAAAGACTTGAAGAAAATATACCAAAATATTAATAGAGATTCCAGCTAAATGTTGGGATCATGGGTGATATCTATTGTCTTATTTATAACTGTATCTTTCAAATTTTTGATAATGAGCATGTAATACTTTTTATAATTGTCAACGTAATTTCCTACACAGGACTTGTCTTATTTATTATCTTACTAGTTATCTGAAGGTATTATGTAACCCCTGGCAGGAAGTATGTGTTCAACAAGTATATACGGAGTGAATGACCCTGCATTGCTCTCCCCTTTCACCATCACTTTCTTGGTGGAGTTTGGTTTATGGTGCTGAAGCCCTGAGACTTAATCACAGTCCCCTGCTCATCTGAGTGGTGGGGGGTGGGGTCACGGCTACTCTCCATGAGATCACGGCCAGAACTTACTTGACACCTGCTGAAAAGCTCACCACAGGGAAGAAGAGCCCATCTGTGCTGAAGTTCTCAAACATCCCCTGCACAGGCTGCCCGTTGATGCGGAAAGAAATACTGGGCACTCCAAGGTCCAGGCAGCAGCTCACCACGTCGTCCGATTTCAGAAGGTGCTGGTTGATGGAGGCCACGGCTCTGGGAATGCGGCCTGGCGAGCAAAGAGCAAGAAGGCATGTGGGACTCTGGAGGACACGCTCACAGGCCACCGGTGGGAGGTGAGAGGTGTGATGGCACTCAGGAGGTCTGGACATGCGACTACATTCGAAATGCAACTTCGCTTTCCAAAACTGTGTGAGATGAGCAATGAGAAATGATTTTCTAAGACGGTGAGTGGGCAGCCTGAGATGACATGAGTCTCAGAGGAAACTCTCAAGCTGTCAGGAATGAGAACAAACAAG